TCAGGACCTCATTGCTGCTGAGGATGGCTGTGGGACTTCTGGGGGTGGCTCTGGTCCTTACCTTGAACATCACTTTGTGGCTCCAGTGCAGATCCCTCAGCCTGCTACCATGGATCCTGCATCCCACTGGCACAGACTTTCTAGCTTCCACCACTGACCTTTGGGCTTTCCCAATGCAGATCAACGAAGTGGGCTTGCATAAGAATTGTTGTGGGCTCTAGACCTCCAGCTGGACTTGTGGGAGGCACTGTTAGGAGCTCTAGGTTTTCAGCCAGACTCACGCACAATGTTAGGATCGAGGCCCTCAGCTGGATTCTTTGGTCTTTAGTATGTGAACATATTTCCTGCACTCTTTGTATATGATTCCTTGGCTGATTCATTATAAAATAATCTTATAAAATGTGTCCTGTATTGTATTGTTTCCCTTTGCAAAACCCCAAACTATGACACCGCCCCTTCTCCCACTCATATGTGCCTGCACATTTCTGCACACCCCCTCATCCTCCCACGCGTGTCCATCTACCCTCAGCTCTGTTGGAGCCTGCAAGCCTGGAGTCACCAATGGAAACAGGACAGACAACACTTGCACTGGGCTCTGGCCCCCAGAAGAACTTGGGGCTGCAGGGTGGAGATACCAAGCACACGCACAGGTGGGTGCAGGTAGGGATGCTGGGAAGGAGGATAGGACAGGCAGGGGGCTCGATACAGGACCTAGGAGGTGGAGTCTAGTTCCTACTGGAATGGGTGAGGCTCATGTGCTGAAATGTGGCCAGGACCTAAGGTCTGAGAATGAGCACTGGGAGACCCAGCACCTGTTGGCCCAGGAGCCACTGAGCTCCAGGACAGGGCCCATGCCACAGAAGGGACAGTACAGCTCCACAGGCCACCACTGAGACCCCATTTGGGGCCCTGCTGTGCCCTGGGAGATCACACAACCAGTGGGGCCCCACTATAAATGTACCCCAAGCTCCAAGCTTAGATATGGAGCCAGCCCCTAGCCACAGAGAGTGTGAGGCCCAGGCCCCAGGAACCCTGCTGCAGTGGGTGCCCACGTCGGGAGGGAACACACTGCCCATGCCACTATCTCTCAGATGCCTCAGCTCCAAAGTCCACAGGGTTTCACAGCCTGTGCTCATGTCCAGCTTTGAGAGGAGATTTCTCACCACCACCCCAAAAAAATGCAGAGCCAGCAGAGCCTTGGCTTCTGGGCTTCAAGTGCAGGTCCCAGATCCACACCCACCACCTCACTTCTCCTGGGCCTGGGGTCCACTAGGACCCAGTGACTCAAACTCTCCTGCAAGGGAGACCCATTGGGAGCTTGGGTTCACCCTGCCTTCCTAGGCCACACTTACCCTGGGTCCTCTCCTACTTCCCTTTGAGGACAGTCTGATCCCAGAGTGTGGGCTACATGGCAAGGGTGCTGGTACCCAGCAGAGATGCAGGACGGGACTGGAGCACCGCAGGCATTCCTGTCCCCAGGGCCAGGGCACACAAGACGAAAGCCTCCCCTCTACCTTGTTTTCAGCCCATACATCTCCCATGGCAAAGCAACATGAGCCAAATGCTGAACAGAGGCTATTCTTGGAAGAAATCCCTATTCCAGGCAGGAACTGGGATAGAAGTCACACCTCTGACACAAGGCACCCTGGGAAGGTCACCATGGAGAACCAACCCCACCCCATGTGTAAGAAGGGATGGAAGCCACAGAGAGCCTCCCATTCCCTGACCTGAATAAGAAGGAAGCACCAATGGGCAAGAAGCAGAAGACTGGGTTCACAGCTGAGCTCCTGGAAGCCTCCCCGACACATGGAGAGACCCTAAGGAGGGAGCCATTATGTTTGGAGTCAGGGGACAGTGATACCACTCAGCTGCTGGCCTTGTCATCACAGAGAAATGTCTTTCCCTGTAGAGGTCAGGGAAGGGCCTAAACCCCAAAGCAGACCCTGCAAAAGCTGGAAGGGCAATATAAAGGCTTCCGGGACAGAGAGCACAGTGGCAAGTGGTGACGAGGACCACAGTCACCCACTGCCATGGATCCTGCAGGCTGGGGCTGCCCCTCTTGCAGCCCCAGCTCACACCGAATCCCTGCCCTTCTGTTGACTAAGAGGGGTCCCTGAATACACTGACAACAGGAACCTGCACTGCCTCCCCTCAGCAGCCACTCTGGGAGTGAGCGCTACATGTGGGACTCAGGCCACAGTTTTGTGACCTGGGGACTTTCAAGGCCTGTCCCACCTTCAGCAGGGCCCCTCACTGATTCTCTCCAAGAACCTCAGGGGTGCAGGTTCATCCTCACTCTGCTTTATTCTGCTGTAGAGACCACTGTGCCCCAGGGTCATCCTTGGGGTCTCTGGAGGATGGAGCAATGGTCAGAGCCCAGGCCTGGCTGCCTCTCACCCTCTGAACAGTGCCAACAGTCAACAGCGGCCAAAGTCCCCGGCGGCCTGCACTGGATTTGATGGAGCCTCCACCCCTGCCTCCCTGCAGCCACCCTGGCCTTGATTAGCCTCAGGCTCCAGCTTCCCTCTCCCTCCAGCACAACTTGCCCTGGAGCAGTTGGGATCCCCCAGGAGGCTCTTGCCCAGAGTCACTGTGGTACAAGGTAGCCTACAGAACAGGACACCAGCTCAGTTTTCAATTCTGGGGAGGCCCAGGGTGCTGTGAACCCCGATCTAGGGCTCCCAGTCCTTACAGGATGAGACCAAGTATGAAAATGCTGCTTGGGTCCCAGGGGTCCAGGTACCCAGGGCTGGCCAAAAGACACAGTTGTCACCCTCTCAACTCCACAACAGATCCTGACCTCTACCCCTGTGATGTTGTACTGCCCCCTGGCCACAGACATCCGCTCCCTCCCTGTGTCCAAGGTCAGAGTCAGCCCCTGCCCTGGTCACCTTAACCGCAGGCATTAAGGACACTCAACACATTCAGAAAGAACACATGATCTGGCCTGTTTTGATGGGAGAGTTTCTGATGGCACCATGAAACTGGAAGGGTCTGGATGTCCCCAGAGACAAGGTGGCCAGTAGTATGGGTGCCCTGAGACCACAGGGGGCACCTCCCACCCCATGTGCAGGAAGCAGGGTGTACAGCAGGAAGGCAGAGACGCTCTGATGGGGCTCCCAGGGATAGGCGCCCGAGGTCAGCTGCCCGCAAAGGCAGCTGGGGGTTTCTGAGGCCTGGCAGGGGTCTGAATAAGTCCAGAGTTCTTCAGGGAGAAAGAACTTTGAGGAGGCGTCTCCACCCTCTAGAGCTGGATGGTGACTCTTCTTGTCCTTGGTCACTGAGGGTGTGTAAGTTGTAGCATCTGTATGCTGTAGACTGTGACCATCCCAGGACCCCAGGGATTCAGCGTGAGCAGGGGCATGCTGGCCAGCTGAGCTGACGCTGAGCAGGTTGGGCCTCACAGGGCCTGTGGATTGAGGTCTACTCAGGAGGCCCTGGGGCGGAAGGTGGGGACTCAGATACGAAGTGAGCTACAGGTGTACATGTGACCTGCAACGCAGGACAGGAAGGGGACTCAGAAGAGGGGCCTGGAGGTCACTGAGCAAACCTTGGCCCTAGCAGTCAGAAGTGGGTGAGGATGAGGAGCTGAGAGAGGCCAGGCATTGGCTTCTTGCTTAGAATGGGGGAGGCCCTGCCCCCACATCAAGCTGCCTGCTCATGGGTGAGACCCACACACAGGCTCTGGGGAAGGGGGAATTCCCAAGAGCCCAGGTTCCCTGTGCTGTCCTTGGAGCCACCCTTCCTCCAGGGTAAGCAAGACTGGTGGCTGGTGAACTGTTCCTTGAACACCTTGCAGGTCCTTCCCCAAGCTGCCCATGGGAGGACAGCTGGGACAGTGCCACCTCAACCCCAGAGATGCCCTCTCAGGACCAGTCCCAGTGCTCGGACACCCACAGGGCTGGGCTCTTCCTGGTGAATGACACACTCAACTGGTAGAGTATAGGCCAGAGGGCAGCTGACCTGCTGGCCAGTGCCTGGGCTGTCGAAGGGCTTTCAGATGCCAGGCTCCAATCCGTCAGCCTGGTGTGGACAGGGAGTAGCCCCCATTGGCCCAAAGACACCTACTGTCCGTACCAAAGAGCTTTAAGAAAGGGGTCCCTGAACCGCAGGACCAAGCTGGCCATATCTGCCTGAGTAAATAAGCCAGGTCAAATTCCCCCACTGCCACGCCAGGACACTGGACAGACCCCAGAGCCAAGGCACAGTGGCTCTCGAAGAGCTTCTAAGAAACAAAGCCGAATGAAAGGGCCTGAGGGGCAGAGGCATGGGCACACAGAGGGTAGCGCCAACAGGAAGCCAGTCCTCGCCAGCCAGATGCAGATGAATCTGTTTCAGAATCCGAGTTCAAGGACCTGCTCCCCTCATCCGCACTTCAGATCCTGCTGAGGACTCAGAGCCCCCACAGCAGGTGGGCCCTTCACATTCTGAGCCCTGGACACACTGCTCTGTGAGTCTGGCTGTGCCCCCCACCTCAGGTCCTGCTACATTGCAGTGACCCAGGCTCCCTCTGAGTTGCACACAGCCAGGAGCTGCTACCTCCAGGGAAGCACTTTGACTTTGATCCTCCCGAGTTCCAAGGAAGCTGACTTTCTTCTCACCTTGCCAGGAGCTACCTGCAATTCCCACTTTCTGACCCACTGGCCCATGTTCTTGGGGTTCCGCTGGATTGCCCCATGAGCGACATCCTTTTTCTTTTACACTCTGAAACCAACATCACCCCTGGTGCCCCACGGTGCATTCCTCTCCAGGCAATAAAGCCAGAGAACTCCACACCCAGGCAGACCCAGGAGGGGGACCCAGACCTAGAACAACAGCCGGATGTTAGTGGCATGCAAGGCTGTCCTTGCTAGCAGTTTCTGGTGACCACCACGACTGCCTTCACTGTCCTCCAGATGGACCCTGCTCCTTGTCCCATCGTGGCTCAGAGGCAGAGGCAGCAGCAGGGTGGGCACGCCTTGACCTGCCAACCGACCACTGACAACCAACCAGACACTTACCAATTTTGGCCAAGCTGGCCACGAGAATCCAGAGCGCGATGATGTATGGGTCCTGGACATGATGCCACTTGAAGGTGACAATTTGGAAGTCCCGGCTGGCACTGACAGGCTGTTCTTCGACAGCTCCAGCCCGCGGCAGCGCCAGCACCAGCGCCCAGAGCAGAGCGCACAGGGGGCCCACTTGCCGAGACATCGCCCCCTGCAACTGCACTGCGCTCCAGCCCTCGGCCGCCTCCCTTGGCCTTTAATCCCAAGCCCTCCGCCCCGGGGCGGGGCCTCCCCGCCTCCCTTCGCACACGTGAGCGCGGGCTCGCCCGGCCCCGTGCTCCGCTGCTGCCGCCGGGCGATCGCGAGCCAGTCCGAGCCCACAAGAGTTAGGTGATTCCTGGTGGGCAGTGGCTGGGTTCCCACCCATGCGACAGTGGGTGGGCAGTTCTGAGGGGGTGTTCACTGTCCTGCACAGCTGCTTCGAGAGCTAGGGGTCCCTAGGACCCTGAGCACTACAGTGCGTACACGTTCCCAGCGGGGCTGACAGCAGTCGGGCGGGCGCGTTCCTCTCCAGGCAATGCTCTCAGCTCTCCTGCAGAACACTGCCTATCCCTGGCTCCAAGCCCCACCAGGAGCTCAGAGCGTGCAGGCATCCTGGACCTCCCAGACCTCTCAGGACTGGAACATCCTTCCCAAAGTCCACTGAGGTCTCCATTTTTTGCCCTCCATCCCTCCAAGTCAGGGCTGCAAACTGGGTGCTGCTCCCACAGGCTTCCCAAGGCAAGCACCCTTCAACTCAGCTCCTGATTGGTCCAGAGAATGACTCGGTTTTCTGCACCCACCTGGCTTCGCTGACCTCCCTCACCAGCCCCAGCTGGTGATGACCACCTGGGTGGGTCCTGGGGCCCTTAGACTTCCTCGCTCAAGTCTTAGTCCAGGTTGTATGCTGGACTCCAGGGCTCAGCTGTGACAATGAGCCCCACCTGGCTCTTAGCTCAGCTCACTGACCAAGGCCATCTGCTGAATCAGTCTGACCATGCCTTCCCTCCCCAAGGGACATCTGTTCCAGAGTGAGCCACTTGTGCTGAGGCTGGTGCAGTGTCCACAGGCAGTGATGCCCATGAAATATAGGTGGGCAGAGGGCAGGTGAGGCATCTGCTGACGTCTCAGAACCTGTCAGAGCTTCCAGGAGCCCAGGGACAGTGCTGGTTTGGATGTTTTTGCCCTATGACTCTCGTTTCCTAGTGACAGGAAATGGTATGCATGGCAGAGGTAGCAGGGTGCTGAGTGGTGGAGGGGCAGGACTGAGCCACACAGGGTCTGGCACACAGCACCACAAGTACGTGACCACCTGGTAGCCATGGGTGTTGCAGCTGCTGCCAACTCATGTGTCCAGGCTGGTCCTCCTTGTCCCCAAGTCCCCAGAAAGTCACACTGAAAAAGAGCAGGCTGACCCCAACCAGAAGGCCTCTCTGCTGTTTCCCTGCACTCCTGGGGGGCTGTGAGAGTTGTCCTCTTGGCACCGCTCACCCTGGGCACAAGAAAGGACTGTGCTGTGCCAAAGCCTTCGGTCACCCTGCCCTGGGGGCTCATGCAGAGCCGTCTGCCCGAGGCCTGCAGCAGGGCCTCAGGAGGCCACAAGAGTTCAAAGGGCAGAGAGCAGGATGTTGCCAAGACACAGGTAGGAGGGGCTGGATGGAGAGGGATGCAAGGAACCCCGCAAAGGTGTAGGCAAAAGGTCCCCGAGAGGCGTTCAGCAGGGCCTAGAGAAAATGTGCGCTGGGCCTGAGCTGACTGGAAGCTTGGGGCTGATGAGTGCTGCCATGGCGTGAGGACACCCCTCAAGGCAGAAGTCAGGCTAGGGCTGTGCAGCACAGCGTGTGGGGGCTGGGGCTGGGCAGGCAGCCAGTGGACTCCTTCCTCTCCAGGTTGTCTGCAGAGGCCGGCTGTGTGAACAGCGCCCCCTGGAGCTGGGTGGGGTGCAGGGGTTATCTCGTGGTTTGTCTTCCGTCCCCACAGCATCAGCCTCTAGCCCCCAAATGAGGGTCATCTGTGTAACCCGCCACAAGCACCAGTACTTCAAAGTAAGCAGAAGTGAAAAATGTCTGTCACTTTTGTTTCTGATTCTGTGTTTCATTCATGTGGTATGTGGATAAAGAGGCAAAAGGTTAGACAGCTGTGTGTCTGATACAGGTGTGCCAGCCCCTCTTGGGCTTCTCACACTGAGTGCAGGGCACACCCTACTCCCCACCCGGTTTCTGGGAGTAAGACATGGGAATCAGGTCCTAGGGCTGCCTTCCAGACCCACACCCAACACCAGCCGTGGGCTTATCTGAGAGTCAGCGTTTCTGCACCTGTCTGCTCCTGTCCTGAAGGCAAATGTCCCGGCGGGCCATGCAGGACTCGGTCCTCCTGAAGGCACAGGGCCCATGCTGCCCCTGCCCCAGGAACTCCTTTCCCCAGGTTCCCAAATCATCCACCCTTTGAATCACTTTTACCTGGGCCTGGCACTGGGCTTGGGACAGCAGTCAGGCCCTTTGCAGAACTGTTGCCACAGTCTGAGGGGCAGCTCATACTGGTGGGGTGTTGGAGTCCGAGTTAGGGTTGAGCTGAGCAGGGACCAGGCTCATGCTGAGAGCAGCCAGGACCTGTGTCCTGGGCCTTGTGCACTCACTTAGGACTGTATAGGTCAGGGCATGTGCCACACTGACCCTGCCACCACCTGGAACTGCCTGGGTGCCTGTGTCCCAGCCCGAGCCTCCCTCACACCCACAGCTGCCTGGCCCTGGAGGGGTTACACCTGTTGGCCTTTCTGCCCATGGAGACAGAGAAGCCCTCTGTGCTATGACCCCTCTGACTCCACTGACTGCGCAGGCCTTTTTCCACATGGCCTGGCCCCTCCTGTCCATCTGATTGCATAGCTGCATCTTCCCAGGACATCCCCTCTCCAGGGCTCATCTCCTCAGAGAGGAGAACCTCCCCTTCTCTTTGCTGGACCCCTCTTCCTGGAGGGACCCAGACCATGGGCTGAAAGCCCTATCCTGGCATCCACATGGCCCTTCAGGGGGGCACTGGTGCTGTTCCTTCCAAGGACAGAGCTCCAAGCGCTTGGATCCCTCTGGCTACAGCAGCACCAAGTGTGGACTCTGCTGTGGAAGGACTGGCCTGAGGGCCCAGTAAAAGATGGGACCAGTGCTTCAATGACTTGGGCAGCCTGGCCACACATCTTCCACCTCAACCACCACCAGAAAGGACAAAGTCTGGAAACATAGGACAGCACACAAGTCCATCAGCCTCTCAGGAGAATGACATCAAGCTTCACTCCAGCTGAGATGACCCAGAAAGGAAGGCCATGCTGGCCTTAATTCCCCTGGGAGTTTGTCACCCCCAGATCACCAGAGTCAGCAGATTCCATCCATCCCCAAAATCTACTGTGACCCCATCACTGGTGAGTACAGGAAGGTTTCTCACCAAGTGGCCATCAAGGTGCCTGCTGCCCATGCTATGCCCACTGGGACAGAAAAAGAGTACACTGTGTGTAGGCTGGAATGGAAGAAGTGACAGTAATGGTTGATACATAAGATTGCCTTCATCAGACACTGGGCAGAACTTCTTACAAAGCACACTCCTATAGCGCTCAGCAGCTGCCCCTTCCTTGTAGGCCCAACCCATGACAGTGGTCCATGAGGTTTTATCCCCGGTGATCTCACTGCCTAGGGATGAGGACAGTGCTCCCACAAGGTCAGAATCGCCAAAGGGTTCCTTTCCCAGGACGAATCCCCGAGTGGTGGCACTGTGTTACAGTGACAAAGAATTTAGTGAGGTTGTGTCTACAGTACCAACCTTCCAAAACCAATTTGTATCTCTATATGCGGCTGATCAATGCTTTAGAAAATGAAAGTTAATTTAAATTCTACTTACACATTATCAAAAATATGAAGCAACTAAGAAAACTGTCTACCAAAATCTATGCAAGATATTGATGGAAAAATTAATCAGTGGGACCATCTGTAAGGGCATTCATGGTTGGCTTTGTGGGAAAATGGGATAGATTTAATATCTTCAAGCACAATCAGACTACTCAGTCTTTCTTCCTTGCTTTCTTCATCTTCCTTTTTTGGTACTGGGGATTGAACCTGGAGCCTTCATGCTGAACTATATCTCCAGCCTTTTTATTTTTTTAACGTACTTGGTACAGGGTCTCACTATGAAGCTCAGACTTATAGCGAACCTCCTGTTTCAGCCTCCCCAGCACTGGGATTACAGGCATGCGCCACCACGCCCAGACTCAGTGGCCTGCTCAGCGAGCCCAAGGGCAGGGCTGGTGTGGCATGTGGTGCGGGGGATCAAACTCTGGTCCCTGCGCTTGCTTAAGCAGGCACTTAGTCTGCTGAGCTATCTCACTGGCCTTGATTCTCTAGCCTTTTAAAGAAGTTTTTCTTTGGGACAGATCTCACTAAGTCCCTAAGTTGCCCTGGCTGGGCTTGAGCTTGTGACCACCTGTCTTGGCTGGGATTCCAGACATGTACCACCATGCCTTACTTCATCTGTTTTGAGGGTCAGATTTGACAAATTATATTTTTCAAGGAGTCTGCTTCTCATACCAAAACTGTCTGGTTTATTGATGTAAGCTGTGGAATATTCTTTGAATGCCTTTTTTTTATGTCTGTGAGCCCCAAGCATCTAGTCTGTACTTTGGTAGTTTTTTTCTTTCTAAGGCCAATATTGCCTTAGAAATATTGAGGTTTATCAACTTTATTAATATTTTCGTAGAATCAGATTTTGTTCTTCTTGATTTTCTCTATGTTATTTTTTCTACTTAGGTAGATTTTTCTGTATTACCTCTGTCTTCTGTTTAATGAACTCCACTATTTCTTTCATCTACTTCCTTTATGTTTATTTTGATGGTCTTTTGTTATCTTCTTTTTTTTTTTTTCTTTTATATATTTGGTACAGGGTCTCACTATGCAGCTTGGACTCATAGTGGTCCTCCTGTTTCAGCCCCCCCAGTGCTGGAATTATAAACTGCACTACCAAGCCTGGTCTTGGTGGCTAGCTCAGTGTGCCTGGGGGCAAGGGCGGGCAAAGCATGTGATACCAGGGGTCGAACCTGGGTCCTTGCCCTTGCCTAGGCAGGTGCTTAGATCACTGAGCTATCTCCACAGCCCCTTTTGTTATCTTCTTGAACTGGAATCTTTGGTCATTGCTCTTCACCACTTTGTGAATATCTTGCTTTT